AACGACTTTCACCTTTCACAGTAGTTGAGTGGATCATCGCCTCTTCTTAGCTCTGCGGTTTGTGGCGCACCTCTGCTCGGCCCAGGACGATGTCCACGGCGGGTAAAGTTCCTGTTGCCAAATATGGGGTTGTGCAATTGTCATTTTATTGCCGAAACAGCTCATGGAGACTTAGTCAAGCATGTTCGAACTGAAAAAACAACAGATCGGCCTGCTTCCAAATCTGTTGAGAGGCCCTCCACGAGCTCTGGGAGGGTGTCTGGCAATCCCTTGGCTGATGCACACGCACACACAAATGTTGGGCACTCCAAGCGGCAGTGCAAACCAATGCTGGCGACATGGTGCAACGAAGAGAAAGCTCGTGGCTGCCTCTGTGCTTGTGCACGCAAGGGGCGAGGGCTTTTGCGAGCTGCCCCGATGCCCAGCTGAAATCACCAGGGCCGTCAAGCGCATCTGCAAAGGCACCCAACACCTTCCAGCTTCGCACTCATCAGAACCTAGTTCGGCTGACTTGCAGCCGCTACGCCTCGAAGTGGCCACTTCCATGCTGCTTGAAAATGGTGGCTGCGCCTCGGCCAAAGCCACCACTTATAACACGGCTTATAACACCACAGACACCACAAGGACACTCAGCTCATCTCAGCTCCACGGAGTTCAGCCAAAGCCGCGCTGCAGCAACTTGCAGCTCAGCTCCTCCGCTCCTGCGGGGTTTTCAACCGAACTCTCTGTTGAGCAGACGACTGCTGCTACTGCCTTTGCATTCCGCCGACACAGTTTCGCCTCACGTTAGAGTAGATCTTATACTGAAAGTCGCAAGCGACCGACACCGATAGAGCTCTCTCGAAGTCTAGAGTCTAGACTCAGACTGTACGTTAAAGCTCGAAATAGCTCGAAGCCTGCTAGTGAGGCTTCGTGGCCAAAAACACAAAACCTCCTGTCATGTCCCGCTGCCTCTTGTACTTTCGCAACCAACAGTGGGGTATTCGGCTCAGACATACTCGGACATCCTTCGAACCCCTGCAGGGGCAGAATCTTATTGACTTGGAGCTAGGACCGCTAGGATGCAGTGTCATCGGCAAAGTCCTGCTTGTTGCTCCGGCTGTGCTTCCTTGGCATTTGCCAGGCTCAGTGCAGTGTAGGCCAGTAGCTTTGGGAGCACATATGCCAGCCACCTCAGCAAAGTCGTCGCGACTGCTTCAGCCATTACTCGTGCTCTCTTGGTCGTTGCATAGATTTCACTCTGGTCTGCTCTCGTCTCGCTCTGCTCGGGCAAAAACCCTGGCCGCCACTGTCTCACTGCCATGTCAGAGTCTTTCCAGCTGGTCTGTTAGTGTGCTCTGGCGTTTTGAACCGGCACCCCTGCGGTAAGCAGTTGCAGTCGATTCTTCTTTGAACCCTTGATCTATTCACCGAAACGGCTTTAGTGCTACATTGCAACGTGCTATTCAGGAGCCCAAAGAATCCAACAGGCAGTGTGTTTTTTCAGAAAGTCAAAGCTCATGTTCGCGAGACAGCCACTGCTCAGCTGGTTTCTTTCATGGGGGAACCAAAAGGCTGACGCACTTGCCAAAGCATGAATGGAAGCCGAGAGAAAACTTTCAGAACTACAGCCCTTCATCCTACGACCGGTTGATGTTCGGACTCATTTGGTTGCCACCCTGGTTTGTCGCAAGGACAACACAGGCATCGATCATGATCTTGATACTCCATGTTTTTATGATGCAGGTGGAACCAGCCGCAGAGTTACTTTAACGCGTAGCTGTCAGCCCAGAAGCAGTTCTTGACGTGCCCAGGTGAATGTGTAAGCATGGTTGCCGGTACGGTTGAGGCCTTGTTTTGTGATAGTGTTGAGCAGGGCTTTCCCACTAGGAAGTTTTATTCCCGAAAGCATCGCGAAGGGTTCTTCCGTGCGGAGCCCCGCAGAGAAAATACATAGAGAATACATGGGGTCAAGTACACTTGACTTTACGAACACTTGACTTTATGACATTTGACTTTACCACTTTACCACAC